CATCACCCAGATATCCAAACTTCCCAAGCAGTCATCCATTTAGGTACTGACCGATCTCGATGTTGCTTAACTTCGATGATATTACGAGAACCCGTGTTTCAACGTGATATGGCCGTAAGCCTTCTATTATCTCAATATCAGGATTCTTTGGCAACACTGCCATCGTTCTCTTTCCGAGCTCAATATTATGCACTTCATCTATCCTCAAGATCGTCATCATGGTCATCGGCGTCTACTGATGCTTGTGTCATTATCAACCTTCTGGACTTGATATCTCACTAGCTGCTTCCCTCCCCCACGATTGTCGGCAGTCAGCGTGTCACCTTCATTTACCAGAGATGCATGACGAGATCCCCAGAGAACCTTTTCAAGAATAAAAACTCTTCCTCCGCCCCCTCACTCTTCCTGCAACAGTTTTATCTTTATCTGCAAATGGCTGTCTTTTATCAATGGAAACATTTCTCTCTGTCTCTCATCTGGAGACCAAAGACAGTGACGCGTTTCAAAACATCGTAGAGGCTAACAAATGTTTTTTTTTTTTTAAATTATCCTATTATAATGTTTTTTGCCAATTTTCGTTCTTGAAATGAATAAACATCGATAGCTGCTTTGGTTATCCGTTATCTGTTGGCGAAAATTTTCTCCAAGAAAGACAGACTAAAAAGCAACCAACAGAGAACGAAGTAATATAAAGAAAATACGTTGTTCTGGAGCCACCAAAATATATCTTATTGGTAAGTAAATGAAATAACAAAAACAAAAAAAAATGAAAAAATCCAACATTACTGAAACGAAATTTCCAGTCATGGAAATTCTAGACAACTGATATAAAAATGCTCTAAAGGAAAGAACAATTGTTAGTAATTTACGTACCTGCGTCTTCTACAGAAAACCCTAACAGGTCAAATTACGGAGGGAGCTAGAAGGTATCGGAAGAACCGAAAGTATTTAGAAAATCAAACAGAGGAACTGATTTATTTATTGACCATTTTCAAAGAAGAAAATATCTACCAAGAACAGGGATGGACTGCAAAAACTTCAGATATGTATCCTCAGTCTTGGATTCCAATCTAGGACGTTAGATTTAAACAAAGATCTAAGCAAACAAATATAAAAAGATTATCCCATCTGACCACAGAAAATGAAAGAAAGTAAAAAGTTTGCAAAGTATGTGAACCTTGGAGACGAGCACACTTAAATTGCTTTGCAAATAAAGAAAACCTGCAAGTGCAGGGGATTTGAGGAGGAATTAAAACCATTTAGACAAATGGTAATTGTAATGGTCATATAAGCGATTTTCTTATATGGAGACATTCGGTATTCATTGACCGAGCAGCCAATGCTACTTTCGTTTGAAATTTGTAAAGCCTTTATTTTAAAACAATTTGCTATAAAACCTTTATTTTAAAACAATTTAGTCAGGAAAATAGGTTTTTTTCAGTAACATGAATTTAAACGAGCTACTAGGTTGGCATCTCAATACCAGTCTTTCACTGTCGAAACGGTTAAATGTAGCCGTCTCTTCTACTCCAATAGCTTCATGTCTCGCACTTCCCGTCTGTGGAACTTCCTTCCTCTTACTTGCTACCCTAATAGCTATAATCTCTAACTATTTAAATACAATGTCAATCGACATTTTCAGATGTCTTGATCTAATTCCGCGTTCTTCTCTTCATCCTTTACTCTCTCACGCCTCTTTACTCTTGCTACCACTCTATGTAACCCCTTGCGTGCTAGTGGCACTTCCGCTTTGCTTGGGGTGAAAGGCTTAAAAAAAGAGACTATTATCGCTTTTTTCAGTATTGATGGAGGCTTGGTTTTGTTTGAATAGTGTGGAACGTCAATGTCAAATGTCATTATTTTCTCTTCGAATTACACGTTATATCCAGTTTAGCTTTTGCTGCAGTAGAAAGATCTCAAGTGATGTGGTTTCTGTTATATGGTACAGTATTTTGCTTGTGATTCAGAAACGCCAGACTACGTGGTTCGTAGAAGGATAGTCCTCGATATGACCCACCTGCTTCACTCGCTGGAAGCCATTTTTAACCATTGAACTAAGAAGAGCTATTTACGGCTGACCGTTTAGGCATTTCTGAACGGGTTTGGCGCCACACATGACAGCCATATGAAAATATCGATCTGACTAAGCTATTTAAGGACATGACTCTAGTTATTAGGTTAATGTTTTGGTTTTGTAGCAATATGCGGTGTTGGGCGAAACAACTTTTAATGCAGCCTATTCTGTGTTCACTCAGCAAGAATACTAATGGAAGCGTTGAACGAATGAGGAGAATTGCTGACAATTGATTTACCAATGTAAAACTCAGTAAGTGCAAAAAAAGAAAGACAATGAAAACTGTGAAAGGATGTTGGTATAGTAATAGAGAATAGTGTAGAAATAATGATCAATTAGACGCCACGCTAATTCCCATATATACATTTCCTATATAGAGGGAAATAAAAGAATAAGTGACATAAACGACTACATTTAACAGCAACTGGGGTCCTGGTAAAAAAAAATGGGCTTCTTCTGGACAGTGAAGGTAGATGTTTCCACTGATAACATATTGAAGCGAAAAAACAAATGCTAAGAACATATGAATCCTTGCGGAGTATACGACCATTAGTAAGCTGGTGCCACTTTTCTTTGATTTTTTTTTTTACCTGTCAGTTATTCTCGTATGGCCTTACTGGAAAATGTCCGTTCTAAATTGTTTGTTGGTTAAATAAAGAAGCGAAGCAGAGGTGACAGCAAGACTGGGCTCGGAATCTATATGTGTCTCACCTCAGATCATGATAGATTTGACTTTGCACTTGATGCCATTCACAAAAGCTAGGCTCAGGGTTAACTTGAGGGATGACCGGCGGTGGAGATTCGTGATCCTCTCGGTCAGTGGCCACGTAATCGGTCCAGCTGCGTCTGGGATGTGCGTGCTTGGGAAAACCATATGACAGACAAATATATAAGCATCCACACCAGAGAGGAGTGGTCTCACTCTTAGATTGACACGGTAATGCAGAATCCATGTTTAGAGAATGCCTTAGGGTATTTGATGAAATCTAGAGAGAAATAAAATTTATTGTTACAGATGAGATAATAAATCATTAAAGAGATTAAATCTCATTATGAGGGTGTTGTAACCCAGGAAGGGTTAGTGAATAATGAAGAATCAAAACGGAGATTGGAAAAGGAAATGGTAATCTTTATAACATCAACAAAATATAATACTCGCCAGCGGCGTGAAGTACGTAAGCCACTATTAGTAGTAGACTACTTGGACAGCATATTACCCCCAGCTACTCACAATAGTGTTCAAAGTATTTATGAGGATTGAGATATACCCATTAGTGTTCATAGGTACAGTATATAACAGAGGGACAGCGTTAATATCACATGTCCAAAGCTATTTCAACCGGTACACACGAAGAGAAACGTCAGAAATATTGAATAAAAATTATCTTCAATGTCTTGGAAAAGAGGTCAAAATTGGTGATTTTTAAAAAGTTATTACTAACTAGCAGTAGAGCCCGGCGTTGCCCGGGGATGTAACAGTAAGAGATAGATCAAGTATCGACCATCATAAAGACTGAAAAATAAAATTGACAAAGATTATTGTTTAAGATTGATGGACACGCATGTCTTAATTAGTTTTTTTTTTTTTACGAATTGGTGAACCCCAAACTCAAACAAAAACATTGTTTTCAATCGTTGTGAGTCTAGCAATTGAATAGAATTTTATTATAAACAATTGTCTTGTAAATGGAATTTTTAAAGCATTCTGAATGTAAAGATAAAGAAAAAAGTGTGCAAGACAATAAGAAACACTACCTGCCAAAAAAGTGAAGTTATGTTGAAATCGGTTGAAAAATGTAGGAAATCCGATCCCATAAACGAACACAGACACATACACACAAACAACCTGGGTTTTATAATAAGTATAACTCGATATGAGTTGTCCCCCTTTCATTCTCGCGACAGCGATGCCTCTTAATCGCGTTTTCAAATTAATTTCGTGCAAAAACAATTGTGTTTTTTCAATTTTTGGCGCTGTCAGAACCACCGCAAGGTAATTTTACGTAGTCCGGTGAAGTTTTATTGAAATCGGTTGAAAAATGTAGGAAATCCGATCCAATATATAAACGAACAGACACACATACACACACAACCTGGGTTTTATAATAAGTATGATGGTAATTAAGACAAGAATTCAGCAAAGAAGAAAGCTTCCGAGAAAATGAAATAAGACTTTATTTTCATTAACTTTCTAAGAAATATCTTCATTTACCATAGTTCCGATGAGAAAGACTTAATAAATAATTGTATCAAACTGCATACCAAAAAGAAGACAAATAATATAGCGAGTATTGAAAGTTTACCAAGAAAAAAAATAGACATAGCGGAATTTGAATAATTTTGAGTAAAAATTAACAGAAAACAACGTAATATTAAGGATGCGGCAAAGTGTATGAAATATAAGATGCGGGAATAAATAAGTACAGGGAGAAAAAAAAATAAAACAAGAAGGTATTTATAAAGTTTGAATGAGGGATAAATGGAAAAAAAGACAAAAAAAGCATGAAAGTAAATTTTATGAAAAAAAAAATAAAAAAAAAATGAGAGAAAAAATAGAACGGATTTGATTTTTAGGAATAAGGTAAAAAGTAAACAGAATAAGGTAGAAAGTAAACATCAACTGATGAGAAACAGATTGCAAAGCGCCAAACAGAGGGGAAAAATGATAGTTTCGGAGGAGAAGAAGTAATAAAAGAATAGAACTGGCGTTCAAAAAAAAAAAAAAAAAAAAGGGAAAAAATGAAGAAAAACAAAAACAACAAAAAAATACAAAAAAAAATTACAAAGACGAAGTAAATTTGTAGAAACACTAGAAAGAAAGATGGCCGTAAGAAAAAATGAAACATGAAAGAAAGAAAGTAAGAAAGAAAGAAAGAATGCTGGTAAGAAAAATTCAAAGAAAAAAGAAAGAAAGAACGAATGGCGGTTAGAAATGTTGAAAAAAGAAAGAAAGAAAGAAAGAAAGAATGCTGGTGAGAAAAGTCGAAAGAAAAAAAAGAAAGAACGAATGGCGGTTAGAAATGTTGAAAAAAGAAAGAAAGAAAGAATGCTGGTGAGAAAAGTTGCAAAGAAAAAAAAAGAAAGAACGAATGGCGGTTAGAAATGTTGAAAAAAGAAAGAAAGAAAGAAAGAAAGAAAGAAAGAAAAGAATGCTGATAAACAAAGTTGACAAAAAAAGAAAAGACGAATGGAGGTTAGAAATGTTGAAACAAGAAAGAAAGAAAGAAAGAAATAAATAAATAAAGAAAGAAATAAAGAAAGAAAAATAGAAAGAATGAATGGAGGTTAGAAAAGTTGAAACAAGAAAGAATGAAAGAAAGAAAAAAAGAAAAGAAAAAAAAGAATACTAGTATAAAAAGTGGAAAGAAAAAAGAAAGAACGAATAGACGTTAGAAACGTTGAAACAAGAAAGAAAAAATGCAGATAAGAAAAACTGAAAGAAGAAAGAAAGAAAAGAATACTGGTGAGAAAAAGTTGATAGAAAAAAAACAAGGAATGCAGATTAGAAAAGTTGAAACAAGAAAGTAAGAAAGACAAAAAAATGCTGGTAAGAAAAGTTGAAAGAAAAAACAGAAAGAAGGAATGCAGGTTAGAAAAGTTGAAGAAAGAAAGAAAGAAAGAAAGAAAGAAAGAAAGAAAGAAAGAAAGAAAGAAAATACTGGTATGAAAAGTTGAAAGAAAAAAAGAATGAACGAATGCAGGTAGGAAAGGTGAAACAAGAAAGAAAAAATGCAGATAAGAAAAACTGAAACAAGAAAGAAAAAAAAGAATGCTAGCAAGAAAAGTTGAATGAAAAAAGATAGAAAAAATGCAGTTAAGAAAATTTTAAACAAGAAAGAAAAAAAGAAAGAAAGAATGAATGAATGAAGATTAGAAAAGTCGAAAAACAAATAAACTGCTAATAAGCAAAATCGAAAGAAGAAAGAATGCATACCAAGTCGAAAGAATAAAGAAATATAGTGTACTATTTAGGTAGGGAAAGGTTTCGAAGGGAAAGGTAATCATACAAAAAGAAAACGAAGCGAAGAAAGAAAAAATAGGCGACAAATAAAAATAACGAGATAGATCATAAAAATGAAAAGAAGAGAAAGTAAAATTGTGGAGCACAAAAAGTAAAGGTTGAAGAAAATGAGAACGAGAAAGAAACAAAAATGTGAAATGACAGAAGTTTGCAAATGAAAAAGAAAGAATGAAGCTGAAAAAAGAAAAATGGAACAGAGAGGAGAGACAAAGCATATAAAAAATCGATATTGTGGAATTTGTCGAAAAAGGGAAATGCGAGTGAGAGACAGAAAGGGTGAAAAAAGAGAGACTGATAGAGAGAGAGAGAGAGAGAGAGAGAGAGAGAGAGTGAAGGAGAGGACAAACATAACTGAAAGGGAAAAAAAAGAAAAAAAAAACAGAGGAAAAGTAAAGGAGTGGAAGAAAGAAAAGAAATGGCTTGAAAAAAGCGCAAATATGGACAGCTATGTGAAAGGATGTGTGTGAGTATGGCTTCAGGCAGAATAGTCAGTGGACATGTATTGGAAGACAGGACATCAGAGACAGCAACGCTGTCGAAAATGACGTCGCATTCAATTGAGACCAACGTCATACAACATCCGGGGCCACGAGGCGTCAAAGATGGCGTTTGTTGAACGATGTGAGGTGACGGAACTTGAAAACTGTGGCGATAAGTGAGATGAGTGGAGACTGAAAAAAAAAATCAAATGATCGAAAATTAAGATTAAATAAAAGAAACGAAAAATATGATAAAAAAATAAGAAAAGAAACGTAATTATGCATATAAAGAGCAAACAGTAATAGAAGACAGAGAAGAAGAGGGTATAAAAAAGTAAAACAAGAAAAAAGAGGGGAGAAAGAAAATATATGAAGAAAATTAATAGGTGAGGACTTTCAAGAAAGTGACAAGAGATAGAAAAGCAAAACGAAAAATATAATGAAGAAAAAACAAGCAAAAGAGGTCTAAAGGTCGAAGGAGAAACGTGGCTAAGGATGTTGGATTGGCAGAACGAAAATATGTAAGAAAGATCAGCAAAACAAAACAAAGCATCGACATTAAAGAAGAAAGAGAACAGGAAGAAGGGCGCCTGATTCGTGGCTGAAGCAGATCTGTATTTTCTTATTGATGTTAATAGTTGGAAATCGAGTCACCAAAACAGCTAAAATTAGACTCTAGATGGCCTATTGGTGCAGCATAATCTTCCTCACTATTTCTCCTATTTTTGAGGGCAGTACTAATTAAAAAAAGTTGGTAAATAATTAAAAAAAAATTCACGGTAGAGGATGATAGGGACGGTTATCAGTTTAACCCCAAAGACGATTGCAAGTGAGTGAGATTCTCACTGAGTGTCGCAATATTGCAGTCTTGAAGCTAATCATAGTAAGTTCCAGTGCAAAGAATATGTATAAGCGTAGAAGGAAGATGAATGCAAAAGAAGAAATATAAAAAGGATGATGCCAAAGAAAGTAATGAACTTATGGAAAATAAAACGAAAACGAAAATAATGAATAAAAACCCCAAAAAGAAGAAATAAACACAAGAAAAAAAGAAGTAAAAATAAAAATAAAAATGATAGGCGAGTAAGCGATACAAGCTGATAAAGAAAGAATACATGGAAAGAACTGCGCGCGTCTCTGGTATGGGTGTTGGAGATGGAGAGAGGTTTCGGCTATTTGCTGACTGTTGATATAATTAGTCTTTGCATAATTGAACAGGTATGAGGCAAACGAAAGACATTATTCCTGATTGGCTGAAACGTGATGTTTTAATTGGCTGAGACAATACACGTGATTAGGTACGACGCGCGACTCTGTGACGTGTGACTTAGTCAAAGAAAAGGCACACATGACCGGTGCGCATTTGTCTTACGGCATTTCATGCAGTTTTAACACTTTTACAGACAAGCATGCACACTGCTGTCTATTTCAACCCCAGGCTACGGTCAAACATGGATGAATCGAAGTGGTGCATATTTTACGCGGATATGAAAAAGAAAGGGAGATAACTATCATCAGTTTTTTTTTCTTTTCTGTAGCTCTTCTCCCCCCACTCCCTCGCTTAATGTTTATTTCTATTATTTTCTTTATCTTGTCTGCTTTATTTATTTCTAACTTTTCATTTCTTTCTTCTGTTCAATTTTTTTCAGTGCTTATTCTTTCTTTTCCATTTCTTTTGTAAGTCTTTCAATTTTACCATCTCTCTCTTTTTTCTTTTTAGATATTTTTTCTGCTAACGTAATATTTATCGTATCTTTTCTCCTTTTCTTTTGCGTCATTCTTTCTTTTTTTCTTTTCCCAATTTTTTTTCCCCTAACTTTTCTTTTTTCTTTTCTCCACACATTTAATTCTTTTGTCCTTTTTGTCAGTATTTCTTTCTTTTTTTTTTTATGGACACTTGGTGTCATTTCTGACACAATATTTCCTAGTGGCGATGTATATAAGCTGTCGCTTTTATATTTTGTTGTCGTTTCGAGCTCGCTTCGCCTGTTGGCAAAATGGACAATTCACGTCATTATGGAATATTTCTTTTCTTTCCTAAGGATACATAGAATGATGGGTGTTAATATCTTCAAAACATTTCGGCAAAACAAGAGAAACAAAAACTTAAAATTAGGTAGAAAACAATGCTAGTGTCTCTCTGCCTGTTGTATTTGAAACGATCATTCTCTACTTCAATGGAATCCATAGCGACACATAAAGAATAAAGGCAACTCCGAGAAATATGCTTGTAGGTAAGCAATATTTGATCGAAAAGCAAGAGACGTCGATATTTTTTTGATATTCCGATGTCTGTTCACACTATCTATAGTCATACCACGCTGAAACACCGCTTCTTGTACGATCATCGAAGTTAAGCAACGTCGAGCTTGGTCAGTACGTAGATGGGTGACAGCTTGGGAATAGTAGATGTTGCAAGCTTGGATGTGCGGGTGGAAGGGCTTACGGCCATATCATGTTGAAATACCGATTCTCGTACGTTCACTGAAGTTAAGCAACGTCGATCCTGGTCAGTACTTGATCGGTGACCACTTGGGAATACCAGGGCCTGTAAGTAGGCTTACGGCCATAACGCATTGAAACACCGGTTCGCGTGCTGTCACCGAAGTTAAGCGACGTAAAGCGTGGTCGGTATCTAGATGGGTGACCGCTTGGAGGTGCTAGTGGTGTAATGGATAATCGGGGAGTTACCTTTGCGACATTTTTAATTTATTTCTAAATGTCTATGGCAGCGTTTCCCAACCTTTTGATTCCCATGGATCCCTTGAAATAGTTTTCATGTCTCATGGAACTCTCTACATAAAAATATTATTTAACATTATTAATATTTACCTCCTGTATATTATTATCGTAGTTCACGTGATAAACATAATATATGGAAAACGTGCATGCGTCCTGTACTCGAGTGAGCCACTCAATGATACACAAATCATGTAGAGTAGGGCAGGTTGATTTTCACCTTTTTTTTTCTTTAGAAAATCAACATCGCAGTCAATATAAAATCTGAGGTTTGATGTGATACGTACTAATACTAAAAATTAGATTCATAGCTTTTGCTGCTCTTCGATTGTTTAGTTTTAAAAATCGTCAGAAAAAGTCTACAGAGATATTTCATTTCTGCAGGTTTCTTTTTTAATTATAAACTGTCTTGAAAATTTTATTATTTCAAGAAAAAATCCAAATAAAATTAATATAATTTGCATTAGATACAACTGAATATAAATATATATATTCAAACCAGAATTCTAATTATGAATCACCACAAGCAAAATATGCAATTTTTTTTAACTGTATTCGATAAGTAAAAACTGTGTAAAAAATTGTAAATGATTAAAAAAGTGCTACTCAATAAATAAGATTTGTTTGAATTTTTTTTAGATCATAATTAATAAAAACAAAAAAATAAATGTGTATATAACAAATTATATAAATTTATTTAAATTTGAATTGTTTATTGAAAATCGCACTAAAACTATTGCACTGTGTAACATATTACATTATAATATAACTAAATTGTTCAGTATAATTTCCCTTTGAAGTAAATGAAGATCTTATTTGATGATACAATGATTTAGTAATAATGTGCATGTGACAGGAATCTTGATCATATAATTTTTAAAGCTTCAGTAAATTATAGATTTTATAAGGCTGTGTTAGATTCATTGAATGGAAAATATATTTAAACCAGTATTCTAACTATCAACTCAGGCAAAATATGAATTTTTTTATGTATTCAATAAAGCTTTCACTGATCACCGGAATAAAATTTCAACGGTACGATTTTTAACTTAAATTTAATCTTTAAACTTGTCTCCTAAAAAAAAACAACAACAAAAAACAAGCCCCCCCCCAACAAAAGCCAAAAACAATAACAACCCCCACCAAAACAAACGATTTTGAAAAAAATATTTTGTGTCATTATTTATCATGTCAAAACTTAACTTTCAAACTGAGTGCAATACCACGCTTTCAAAACTGATCTGCCCTAATGTACAGGTCCTGTTCAATAACCAGTGAAGGTTGTTTAACATTGACGCCATATAAACATCGCTAAATATATTCCCTATGATTATTATGACTTTAAATACGGTGGAGTAATAGATAGCGGCTTGGATTGAGGAATCGGAGATCCGAGTTCGAATTCCAGTTCGAATCCATTACATTTACTTTCTTCTCTACCTATGGGCAAATAGCAGGAATGACCAGGTGCTATGGCCTTGGATGGTAAATGGTCTACCGCAAGAAGAAATGGCAACCTACTGCTGGAGAAAAATCTGCCCTGTCAGACATGTATCGAAAGATACATAATCGCCTACGCGTGTATCATGCATGGCACATAACTGACTGAACAGGTTCAAGCCTTTATTATAATAATTGTAAGTACGCAGGTATAGGTTTTAAGGAAGTTTTATTCAACTGAGAATACAAGGTTCGCGTATAGTGTCATTTTATAGTCCCAGTAAACAGAAATAGCTCTCTCAAAGAGGAGATTAACAAAACAAGAGGAGACCATTCTTGATTATTCATAACAATAAGCAAGGATTTTATAATAATATACCGTACGTGTATAGTAAAATTACGAATATAAAATTGAACAAAAATTACTCAAAAATCCATTAGCCTATTTATCACCGTTTCTCGCGGAACCCCTAGCGACCTCTTGTGGAAACCTGGAGTTCCAAGGAACACCGGGTGAGAAACTCTGGTCTACACAGTGCGTTAGTGTAAAAAACAAATTTGAAAATCAATGGAACAAGTAAAATTATATTTATTTTTTCGCTTTAGTATTTTGTTTCGTTTTGAAGAACGATAACAATTATAATCAACTTTTTCGTACAACGTCCAATAGAGCTAACTGGATTTTTCTATATGTGATTTTATAGATAGAAAATTAGTTTAGCTGATATACAAAAATAGAAAGGGGTGTAAGACAAGGATGTATCTTCTCACCGGACTTATTCATCCTATACAACGAGGCGATTCTGAGAGAACCTTAAGTCCTACCAGGATTGGTGGCCACATTCTTGACAACATAAGGTGGGCAGATAACACAGTATTGTTAACAGACACAGAAAGAAAGCTACAAAAACTCCAACAGAAGATAGTGAGGGAAAGCGAGAAGAAAAGATTAAACATCAACTGCAAGAAGACAATGCATAGTTGTGAGCAAAAGGATGAGCCTAAATGCAAATTGCAAATCGGACGTACCAAAAGTGAAAAAAATTTAAATATCTGTGAAGTGTATTGACAGAAGATAGAAAGTGCGACACTGAAATCCGAAGGCATATTGGGACAGCCAAAGATGTCTTCCAAAAGCTAAGCAGAGTACTAAGAAATAGGAAAATATCGTTAGAAACAAGGAAAAGAATACTAAACTGCTATGGGATATCTGTCATTTTGTATAACAGTGAGTTCTGGATGATCTTAAAGATGAAGTGAAGCCATGAAGCAGCAGAAATACGGTTCTACAGATGGATGCTGAGGATAACGTTCACAGAACATGTGAGTAACGACGAAGTTTTTGAGAAAATGGAAACAAAAAGGAAACTAAAACTTAACACCAGTGAGAGACAGTTGAGCTTTCTATATAGAAAGGAGGGCTTGGAGAATATGATACTCTGGGGACAGATAAAAAGAGGAGAGAGAGAGAGAGAGAGAGAGAGGGGGGGGAAACGGCTTGAACTCTAGTAAATGCATTGCGGAACAGGGTTTAGAAGAAATAACAGAAAGACAAAGTTTATTAAGAGCTCCATGAAATTTGTGGAGATCTATGATCGCCTACGTCCTGGCGGTTGTGGGGGGGGGTGACACGGCACATAAAGAAGTCAGGTGTGGTTAAATAGGGAAGCAATTAAGAGAGGAGTCGCTGCATCTTGAAAAGAAACTGGTAAGGTACGCTATTCTCGAGTGTGTTACATCTCTTAAATTTCGCGAGATATATTGATTTCTGGCTTCAACTCGTAATTAATTTGGATTGTTATAGTTAAGTTTGTTTAGCGGCATATCAACTCCTTATGGGTCATTCAATGCTGAAATTTAATTTTCTTGGAAGCAATAATAATTTCTTTTACAAAAATGTATTGCTGATATTTTTTCATATAATGTTTCTATTTTTTTTTTTTACAAAAATGTATTGCTGCTAATTTTTACTATGAAAAAAAGTATTTTTATACTTTCATAGTGTTTTGACGACAGTTTAGGTCAACTATTTGCCCAAAAGAAGTGCTATTACCCCGGTTCAGGGTGGACCTAAGAACAACAACAATTAAGAGGTGGTTCCAAGTTCTTCCAAACCTCCCGATCGGAGGAGGCCTTGATGCCGGATGTAGTTTATCATCATACCCAGAACACTGTTACAGTGAACTTAATATCACTTATACAAGATGTCGGCAGAAAGAGTTACTGATAAGCTCAAGCATTGGCAAGCAGAATAATTACGTAATTCATGATGCTCTTATATTGTTACGGAAATGTGAAAACCTAAACAGTATATTGTTTTCTAGAACTTAAAATAGATTACACAGGCGTTCAACTTTCCAAATTAAACGTATCTTAAAAACCAGTTCAAGTAAAAATAACTAAATTTAAGATATCATCTTATTTGAATTTCTCTTGTGAATCAAGCGACGAAGAAAAAAAAAACCCTTTACATTTTCATTTACTGATACTGAGAAAAGTCAACTAGATAAAATTATATACATCTTTGTGGGTCACGTAATAATTGCATTAGCTGATAACTGACTAGAGTAGTCATGATCTTTCGAAGGAGACAAGTGATTTACTGGCAAGGGGAGATAATTTCCTAGTATAGATTGTGTGTTAACAAATTAGTTTGACATGGAACAGTAGTATAACCTCCGGATATGGTTTAGCGTTAAATGTAAGAATGTGAATTGTACACGAGTAATGATCCACAAGCGTGGCAACTGATATTTTCAAATCGACGACGAGACTCGATAACATGAAAAAATGGATTAAATAATGGACTCACTGGATTAAATAATGGATCCGATGGATTAAAGGAGATCAACCCCCGTCGGTCTTGAAGGAAATCGTCCCTCGTCGGATCTCGAAGACTGGCGCAAAGAAGACTTACAAAGAACTTTACCAAATAACAGAAACCACATCACTTGGAGACTTTCAAAGCGAAAATTGTTACAAAACCAAAACGTTCGAGTCATGTTCTTCAATAGCCTTTCAGTTCGATATTTTCACATGAATGTCACGCATGGCGTTAAAGCCATTCAGAAATGTCTAAACTGCCAGCCGTAGACAAACTGCTTTCTTAGATCAATGGTTAAAAATGGTTTCGAGGGAGTGAAGCATGTAGGTTTTATCGAGGACCATGCTTCTACGAACCTTGTAGTCTGGCGCTTCAGAATCACAGACAATGAACTGTACCAAATAACAGAAACTGCATCATTTGAGGACTTTCAACTGCAGCAAAAAACTAAAAGCGATGGCACATGTAACTTGGAAAAATGATGACATGGTGGCTTAATGGATGGCAGCACGGTTTGAGGAATCGGAGAGCCGAGTTTGAATTCCAGTC